CCATTAGACGGAGTTCTTCGTCATTTAGACAGATCAACACAACTCAAATACTTATAGATCAAAGAGTGTCGTCGGTGTTCCAACAAAAAGGCATTCTAAAAATGTTAGGGTTGAATCATCTCATACAATATAAGGAAAAACCCATAAATACAGTTGCAGATGCCCTATCCATAAGGGAACATAAGGAGAATTCTGCAAAAGTACTATATACAGTTACCGCCACTATTGTTGCTTGGGTAAGTGAACTATCTAAAAGTTATGCAAGTGACTCGGAACTCTTAATTTCTCCACAAGACATGCCTTTGTTCCACCTCTATAATGAACTCCTTCGATACAAGGGAATAGTAGTATCGAGCAACAATGAAAGTCTATGACACCAAATACTTTGATAATGTCATAACTTTGTCATAAAGAGTCAGTTATGGGTCAAAGCCATCCAAGAACGAGTCAAACAACACCTTTATTGACTCGACATGAAAAGGCAAGCCACTCAGTGGGTACAATAGTGTGATACTTTCCAACATCCTAAAAATGAAAAAAATGACCCTTTATGAACTCCTACAACTGCTACCAATACCTTCCCAAGTTCGGATGCACATACTAATGGATTTTATTGAAAAATTGCCCAAGTCCGAGAACAGAGATACGATTCTAGTGACAGTAGACTAGTTCATAAAGTAAGGTCATTTTATTTTTTTAAAGCATCCCTTCTCAACCCATGGTGTCGCCCAACGTTTTATGGAAACTATTCACAAGCTACAATGAGTGCTACAAGTCATAGTATCAGAACGAGATCCCTTGTTCATATCTCTTTTGGAAGGAATTAATGAAAATAATTGCAACTTATCTCCATTTCAGTATTGCATATTATCCTCAAACAAACATTCAGATTGAACAACTAAATCAATGCTTAGAGATGTATAGCTCATAATCAATCAAAAACATGGGCAAAATGGTTATCTTCTGCAAATGGTGGTACAACACAACCTACCACACGAGCCTTAAAATGACCCCCTTCCAAGCTCTTTACAGGTACGCACCTCCTCATTTTTTGGATATTAATGATTTCTCTCTAGCCTCCCTTTTGGTGGAAGAATTGTTAACAAAAAGAGAAGAGCCTAGCAAAAGAATTAAGAAATAACTTCTAAAAGCCCAAGCCCGAACAAAGTAATATGCAAATAATAATTGTTGTAATAGGATCTTCAAAGAACATGATTAGGTATTACTCAAACTGCAACTGTACAAACAAGGTACAGTAAGAAAGGCCAAAGGATCCAAAAGATCATCTTATTTCTACGTGCCATTTCAAATAATACAAGAGATTTGGATTAGTAGCCTACAAACTTCAACTACCCGTTAACTTTAGAATTTAGCCAGTGTTCCATATATCACAGCTCAAGAAATACACTGAAGGCAAAAGCAGGGTGATAAGAGATTACCATAAAGTACAAGAGAAGATAAACTCAATATTTGGCCGAGACAAGTGCTACAACACCAAGTCATAATGCGAGGATCTATGTCTATAAAACAAGTACTAGCACAACGGAAATAGACTATAATTGATGAATGGACTTGAAAAGATTATGATTACTTACAACAACAATTTCCACAACTCAACTTCGAGGATAAGGTTGATGTTCAAAGAAAATGTATTGTTAAGAACCACTTAGCAATCTACTACTGGAGGAAGGACAAAAAAGGAAATTCACCCACAAAAGGGTAAAATCGTCTTTTCACCATCCTGGAAGATTAGGGTTAAGGCTTGGCCGAATCAAACCCTAATAAATGAAGACAATTGTGAGATTGCCGCTGCAAGTCACAAGATCCGGGCAATTTCCACCCCCTTTATCGTTCATTCCTATCACTTACAGCCTATAAATAGACCATTCTTCTACGTAATGTAATCATCGAATAAAATTAGAATTATTTACCTCTAAAGTCTTCTCTTTTCTCTGTTCTTTCTCTTTTTTTCTCTTTTCTCTGTTCTTTCTCTTTTTTTCTCTTTTCTCTTCTTCTTCCTTTTACAGATCAAGACCATGCACCACTCCCATACAACCACCAATCGCCTAAATAAGGTGTCAGAAGTTCTAGACATGGTCTCTAATATGCAAAAAAGAAGAGAAGAGAGAAAAAGAAGAGAAATAATAGAGAGAAAACTTTAGAGGTAAATAATTCTGATTTTATTTTATGATTACATTGCGTAGAAGAATGGTCTATTTATAGGTCGTAAGTGGTAGGGATTAACGGCAAAAGGCGTGAAAACTGCCAGGATCTTGTGACTTGAAGCGGCCATCTCGCAATCGTCTTCACTAGTTATAGTTTGATTCGGTCAAACCCTAACCCTAATATTCTAGGATGGTGAAAGAACGATTTTGTCCCTCCATGGGTGAATTTTCTTTTCTGTCCTTCCTCTTGTAGTAGACTATTAAGGGTTTCCAGACAATAGCCTCCCCTGGAACATCAACCTTATTCTCAAACTTGAGTTGTGGAAACTGTCACTATAGGTAATCATAATCTTTCCAAGTGCATTCATTAGTTGCAATGTCTTCCCATTGTACTAGCACTTGTTTTATAGACGTAGATCCTCACATTATGACTCAGTGTCATAATATTTGTCATGGTCGAACACTGAGTTCATCTTCTCTTGTATTGTCAGGTAAAACCCTGATCACCCTGTTTCTACCTTTCCTGAATTTCTTGAGTCGCGATACAAGCAACACTGGTTGGACTTTAGAGTTAGGGAGTAGCTGAAGTTTGTAAGCTACTAATCCAATCTCTTGTATTATTTGAAATTACACACAGAAACGAGGTGATAGCTTGGATCCTTTGACTTGTCTTACCGTACCATGTTTGTACAGTTGCAGCTTGAGTAATACCCAATCATGTTCTTCAAAGCTCCTCTAACAACGATTCTTATTTGCATAAGGTTTTCTTCAGGCTTGGACCCTCAGAAGCTATTGCTTAATTTTTTGGTTGGTCTCTTCTCTTTTTGCTAACAATTATTCTATCAAAAGGAAGACTAGAGAGAAATCAGCAATGCCCAAAAAATGAGGAGGTGCATACCTGAAGAAAGCTTGGAATGGGGTCATTTTGAGACTCGTGTAGTAGGTTATGTTGTACCACTATTTAGCAGAAGATAACCATTTCATCCACGTTTTTGATTGATTATGAGTTATGCGCTTCAAATATATCTCTAAGTATTGATTTAGTCGTTCAGTCTGCTTGTCTGTTTGAGGATAATATGCAATGCTAAAATGGAGGCAAGTTGCAATTGTTTTCATTAATTCCTTCCAAAAGAGACTTGTGAACAAGGGATCTCGGTCTAATACTATGACCTGTGGCACTCAGTGCAGCTTGTGAATAATTTCGATAAAATGCTGGGCAACACCATAGGCTGAGAATGGATGCTTTAAAGGAATAAAGTGACCATACTTTATGAACCAATCTACTATCATCAGAACCATATCTTTGTTCTCGGACGTGAGCTGTTTTTCAATGAAATCCATTTATATATGACTTCAAACTTGGGCCACTACCGATTAACAGTTGTAAGAGTCCTGGGAGGGCCACTTTTTCATTTTTACAACGTTGGCAAGTATCACACTGTTGTACCCACTAGGTGACTTGCCTTTTCATGTCGGGCCAATAGAAGCATTGTTTGACTCATTCGTAGGTGGCTTTGACCCTTGTGTGACCCCTTATGGTGGAGTTATGACAATGTTGGAATATTTGGTGTCGTAAACTATCATTGTTGCCCAATACTACCATTCCCCTGCATTAAAGGAATTCATTAGAGAGGTGGAAGGAAGGCTTGCCTTGCGGAGAAATTAAGAGTTATGCGATAATTTGTTCTATGTCCGATCACTTCATAACTTTTAGATACTTCACTTACCCAAGCAGAGACAGTGGCGGTAACTGTGTAAAGTACTTCTATGGAATTCTCCTTGTGTTCCCTTTTGAATAGGGCATCTGCAATTGTATTTGTGCTTCCTTACTTATATTGTACGAGCAAAACAATTCTTATCATTGCAAGAATCAAGAGAAGACTTTAGAATTAAATAATTCTGATTTTAATCGATGATTATATTGCATATAAGAATGTTCTATTTATAGGTTGTAACTGATAGGGATGAGCGGCCAAGGGGTGGAAATCACCTTGATCTTGTGACTTGTAGCGGCAATCTTGTGATAGTCTTCATCAATTAGGGTTTTGATTCAGTCAAACCCTAACCTTAAATTTCAAGATGGTGAAAGGACAATTTTGCCCCTCCATGGATGAATTTCCTTTTATGTCATTCCTCCTATTGTAGACTGCTAAGACTTTCCTAACAATGCCTTTCCAAAATGAGCTTTTGGATTTAATTTTCCTTTAGACAAGAAAACTACAAAGCCAGAGAGAAAGCATTGCTTACATAAAGAACCCCACAAAAACGTTTTTAAAATTCAAGTTGACAAGGCCACAAAACAGAAGCAACTCTAGCTTTAATAGAAATTCTCTTACAGATAAGCTTAAATAGTCTATCCAGATATCCATTTTATGACCAACAATGTGGCCATCATGGTAGCGAAATGCATCATTAAACCAAGTATTAATGAAGAAATAGCTAGCTCGCAACATTAAATGAATTATTTTTATTCAATATGCTACTATGAAAAGTGTTTGATTTACCATCCAACCTTTCCAATAAGAAAATGATTCAATCTTCTAAAGGAACTTTTCAAAAATAAAAAGAATACTATTAAGAGCACCAACGTATCAACCCATATAAAAAATTTTACAACTTCATCAATGTATCAACCGAATCCCCTAAATTCTCACTAGAATAGAGGGGGATGACTCTTAATAAAAAAACCTAAAGTCTGAAATTAAGAGCCCAATTCTCTCAAAAGAACATTTTATATCCTCAAAGATTCTTATTTTCCTCTCTATCCTAACAACTCAAAGGATAGCCAAAGGGATAATGCTGAGATTGTTGTCGAAGCCTTATCCCCATGCATACCCTTTCAAACACCAAACCTGATAGAAGATAGAACAACATGAGAGAAGATGGTTGATAGATGCTGCAGGTCTCTTGCATAAATAACATCAATTTGCAATTATTTTTCCCCTCTTGATCAAGTTATCTGTGATACATACATCATCGCATTGCCTCCTAGGAAAAGAAAGCAATTTTATGAGATGCTTTAACCTCCAAATCAATTTCGACAAGAAATCTTCGAAAATTCTACTGCTTGCCGCCAAATGGTAGCAATAGGATTTTACCAAAAAATCCCTTTTTGGCGCAATTTCTACCTTGACTCATCCAGGACATCAGAGTCTTCCCTATTGCGAAAAAAGAATGCAACAAACCAACATATTCATTTACCTCCCACTCATTGTGGTTCCTTACCAGATCAACTACCTAGGTTCCACTACCCTCTTAATTGGAGAAAGATCTTGTTGTTGTTGCCTTCTTATTGCAAGCAAAGGAATAAATTTTGGGGAATTGTTGCCTTAATATACCACCTTCCATCCATTCTTCCAACCAAAACCTCACATCTTGCCTTGCTTTGACCTCCCAAGCTATTTCATCTTGGAACTCATCTCTTCCGATACCAATTTTCCTCCATAAGCTGACTGAAAGAGACCTACTTGAAGTCCTTGTATACCACCTGTTACTATCAGTGCCAAACTTAGCTCTTATTACCCGCCTGTAGAAACTATCTCTCTCCTTCATGGATTTCCATAGCCACTTTCTTTGCAGGTTTTATTCAGCCCAATCATTGACTTGATACCAAGACAGCCCCTATTATATGGTTCTTTGATTGCTTTCACCAAGCAACTACATGAAAACTCCTTTTTCCACTCGAATCTTCCCCTATGTATCTGCATTGAATAGCTAAAACTGCTTTATCACTATCACTGGAATGGTCAAGAACGATAGAGAATAAATCGGTAGATTGTAAAGTGTAATCTTGATGAGAGTCAGTCTTCCCCTTTTTGACAGGAAGTTCCTCTTCCATCTTGCTAGTCTCGCTTCAATTTGCTGATAATAGGATTCCATGTGGAGATATATTTGAATTTAGCATCCAGGGGGAGAGCCAAATACTTCATAGGAAATCAGTCCCTCCATACCTCAGAACACTAGCCGGGCTTTCTAAATCCTTCCTATCCCCTATCCAGACCAACTCAGATTTTTGACACGTTTATTTTGATCCTAGAAACAACTTGGACACAAAAGAACACACACCTCATATTCACTAAGAATTGTGGTTCAGGCTTACAAAACAGAAGCGTATCATTTGCAAAAACCTATCTTCAGGCCCAGGTTGATGCACAAATGGGCCTGTTCTATCCTTCTTAAAACCTATCTTTGGGCCCGCTTGTTTTGGCCCAATGCGAGGCAGGTGTTGAAATTTGAGAAAAAAAAAACCTGACCTGTTTTGGAATCAGATCTCTTCTTCTTAAACCATGAACCTGCAATAGTCACTGTTTCTACAAAAGCCTTCACCTTTTCACCCATCGACCGCCTCCCCCTTAATCCAAATCTTCACATTGCATTCAGGACAGCACAGGTTGCCCATACCATTGATACTTGGCCTCTGTCTTCTTCCCCTTCAGAAGATGTGTTAGAAACCTCCATGCTTCTCTTCCAGGGAGGTGCAAAATCCCTGCCAAGCAACCCACTAACTGCCTTCGCCATCCTCCAACAACCACTAGCTTCCCCACCCTCAAGGATATAAATCCTCCTTTTCTCCTGCATTCTTTCAGCAATGGCAAGTTCCTACTGCTTCTGTTTACTCCAATGACATCCATAAAGTATGTTTACTACCCACCATACTTCTAAACTATGATGCATCTCCTTTCTCCCAAGAGAATTGTGTAAATGAACTGACCAACCACTCTGTCTCCTTCTCTGAAAAAAAAAATTGAGGAAAGAAAACCTCTTCCATTTTCAGTAATGCTGATGCAATCCACCTTCTCCAGTCAAAAGATTTTCTATCAATGACCAGAAACCTCTTAGACGAAGGAGTCGACATGAGAGAAGGGAAAGAAAAGTTATCTTGTCTAGAAAGTAATCTTCTAAAAAGAAACTAAGAAACATTACCTTTTATAAATCAGCTTATTATTCGCATAAATTAGACAGAGAATCAAAGAACAGCTCTTAGTTTTTTCAATAGTCTTTTTCACCAAATTCAACATGGTACACACAGGATACTTCCCCATCCAACATTGTGAATACCTATGGCCACAAACCTGAAACCAACGAGTGATTTGTAAAATAAAATATATTACAGGCAGATGATGCCTCTCTAGTGAAATTAAATGACATCCCATAGCCTCGAAACACCTACGTAAATGAAATATACTTACAGCCATTGGTCCAAACTGAGTAAAGTTTAACAAATAACTAACAGGGAAAAGACCTTTCCTAGATATGGATTTTGTCTTATTTGCAGCAAAGTACATGTGGGTCTTGAGAATTTTGATAAGTTTTACCCACAATGAGAATCCAAATATAGGACACAGGTCAGGTCATTAAACATGAAACCTTAATCACCCATGCTCAAGAGAAATTTTCTTAAATTACTGTCATTTTTTCAAGTATCCAAGAAACCAAAACAAGAATTAAGAGTGTTATGTAATTTTCCAACATAACAAAATGAGAGGCATATTTGAAATTTGTATATGCAAAAACAAAGTGCATATTGAAAATAATGACTGAAAACGATGACATTAATTCAGAAATTGACCTTAATTATAGGAATATCACTCGTACGAACAAGATACCCGCCAACCACCATCACGTACATTCCTGCACAGACACAATAACCCACCATCACTTCATCAAGCAATCCATAAATACTGATAAGCCATAAAAATAAAACAAAATTAAGAAAAACTACTAAGTCAAAAACCTGAATTCCATGGACGGAGACGGAACTCGCCGGCTAGGCCAAGTTCGACAATGCCCGTCCCGTCATCAAGAAGCAGACGAGAGTCATCACCGCCGGCGGCCGAGAGCAGAACGCCCTGTGCAGATGGTGAGATTACAGGGAAATAGAAAAAAAAAAGGAACTAAAAGAGGGGAAATGAAAAATAGGACCTGTAACCAGGCTCGCTGGAAGAGGATGCCACCGAGGGTTAGGGCGTTTTGCGAAGGAGCTTCTCGTGCATCCTTCAACTGTGCGCTTAGCACTTTTAACGCTGCCAAACTGTAATCCATTTTCTATTACTCTAATATCAAAGAGGCTCTGGTAAATTAACCAAGCAATGGAAGGTCAAGGACCAATTTAGGAAAGATAAAAGGTCAAAGATCAGAAAACATTTTTGTTTTGCACCGCCGACCAGCTACTACCAATTACTCTTTCAAACACTGTGATAATTGTTCTGCGAAATTTCCATGACTGAAGTTGAAGATGCAGCAGTAGAAAAGACCATGATAAACGATAAAGATGCAAAATTTCCATGACAAACTGTAGTCCATTCTCTATCACCTAATCACCCATGTAATTGGTGTGCACAGCAAGTCAATTATATATGATGTATATGGAATATTACTGTAATAATCTTAAATTTAAAGATATTATATTATTATTTTAATAATGATAAAAATAGTTTCTGCCTTTTTTCATTTATTGCAATTGAATAAATATTTAAATTAATAAAATTGCAATTGCAGCAAATGCCTAAATTCTTTTAAAAAAAAAAATTAAAAGTCTTATATACTATACAATGAAAATATGATCATAATAAAAATATAAATATGAAATCCTTAAAAGATCAAAATAATATAAATACTAGTAGATCCAAATATATTCATATAAATAAGTTATTTAATACTAAAGAAATTAAAAATAATACTCAATATACGAACAACTTCACTTGGTTAATTGAGTACAAGATGTTGAATAAAAATTTAAACAATAACAATCGTTTTAATTTATTTAATTCTATTATAGATAACTACACGTAAATAATTATATTATTTGACTAAGAGATTAAATGGTATGTGAAGATGACTTAGTTAAACTAATTATTATGATAAACTCCATAAAATGGAATGAGTAATAATTAAATACAAATGATTCCCACCAAATTACTCTCTATTTATTGATTCAAAAAAAAAAAAGAAAGGAAAATTCTACTCTTGATTATGCAAGAATTATGTAATCCTCACATAATTATGTAATTATCATCCAATAAAAGTGAAAAAGCAAAAATACTAACTCTGGCAATGTTTATGGAAAAGTAAGTCCAATTACGTTGCGCATAAAACAAATACAGAAGGAGGAGAGTGTTGCAATTACAAGTTGATGTCCAAATCCCAAAAACACAAAAACTAAAAACATAGTATTTCTTGGAGCAGAATTCAATAGATAAAGAACTTGTACAGTTCAAGAGCGGAAATTGGCTCTTACAATATAAAAGAGAAGAAAGATGACCAAAACATCATGGTTCAAAGCATAACGATGAATACTGGTACATTGATGATGATTAGAAAACGAGAGAGATTCCAGCAGTCAAGAGATCATCCGATAGAATCTTGTTTGCAGCCTCTGATGGATGAAACCCATCCCAAAACACATATTGACTTGCATTTGCACATGTCCCAACTGATTTATGATTGCACAATATTGATGTCTCTAGCAATCCTGTCCCACAACAAGCTTTTCTTGCCTCTACAAACCCTGCATTACAACAAATTCCACCATTTTCTTTTTTAATTAGTTACCTACACCACCCAAATGTCTCTCTTATATATTCATATGTACGCTAAGTTTATAGTTGTTTTGAGAGTATAGATAATTACTCTAATTCACATGGATTTTACCATTATCAGAAGGGTTAACAACAAGATTATAAAGAGGTTGGTAGATATCCAGGACGACCAAATTGAGGCCCCTAAGTCTTTTTGTCAGGCCTTGAGATGTGGCATTCAGCTTGTTGTTGAAGGAGACAGCATCATTGTTTAGCCTGGTTACGCACAAATTGCTGTCAGCGCCAAAAATTGTAATGGCTGCAGGGAGGCATCCCAGAGGTGGCAGTGTCGTCACTCCAATCTTCCTTGCGCCTAGCATATACAAATCCTGCACAACTAACTCGTTACTACTATATAGAACAATTAATTTTATCAATGTTCCCATCTATTTTGGATAATCAATTCCTTCAATTATTTAAGATGAATCAGAGACAGAATTCTACATCTTGAATCCTATGTAGCACAGTTGTCTTAAAAGTAAAATTAGCATAAAGCTTATTAGCTTTATACTTGATTCACACTTTGTGGGAAAGGGACATGTGTCTAGTAATTTTAAATTTTAAATTATCAGTTCAGACCTGTACAAAATTTTCGTAGGATTGCAAGAGAACGTCCGAGAATTGATCGGGTGTGAAAGCCTTGTAAAGCAAAGGATTAATGTAATAATTCTGGACAAAGTCACTGCTCCCACCACTAACAAGATAGAGAGCACCAGATATTATTTCTGAAGCATTTGATTTCCCTGCAATCTCCACTAGCTTATTCTGGTACTCCTTGTAGTTTTCCACCTGCTGACTTAAACTGATTGCATGCTACAAAATAATCATTTTCACAACATCAGTTTTAACCCAGACTAACTTGTATACATATATACATATAAAGTACTTAATTGCCTATACTTACATACAGCTTTGCTGTAGTATCATAATACCCAGAAGCTGCAGAGGCAAAATTGGCACCAGTTAGGAGTTTTTTTCCTCTGGCATTTTTGCTGAGATAAGGTGGAGGATAAGTAGTGAAGCCAAGGTTCTCCGCTGTTTTATATATATATATATATATATATGACACTGATGATTAGCAGACCCATGCTAGATATATACAAAAATATGTATATTATAATGTGATATGTTATAATTAAGAAGGTACCTGTGAAGTCTGCAGCCAGTTTTCCATTGCAGAACCTTCCAGTGGGTCTGTGATTGACAAAGTCTCTTCCGTAAGGAGGGAAGTTTGATTTGATAAGAGTGTAAATGTGATTGTTGTTGCCCGCATCAACAACAGAGTCACCAAATATGAACATTGCAGGAACAAGAGGCTGGGAGTTTGCAATAATGGGCAGTAGCAAAGAAAGAAGAGGAATTAGAATGGCCATTATAATGCTAACCCAACTGCTTCCACACATTCAGCTTATAGGAATATGTGTGTGTGTGTGTGTATACGTTGTTATATAGAGTTATTGGAAATGGGTAAATTTAAAAGTGGGTATTGGTGTACCATACATCTTGAATCGTAAACACTATTAATGGGAATTGTTTGACAAGGGATTACAAGAGTGTTTGATACGTATGTATATGTGTATGTGTGTAAAGTAGAGAAGAAAGAAGAGGGATGAAAGGGTTTTAGTGTTAAACAAGTGGGAGTGGTTTCAACTAAAATGAAATGGTGTATGTCATTTATGTAGGTGAGTGTATAGAGCTAGCTGTAATAGCTTCAAACTCACACACCCTTTGGCTTGCAACTATGCATTTGCAAACTTGAATTTAAACACAAAAGATAAATAAATAGGTGCAATAATTTTCTCAGTTGCACACTTCAATTCCTATTGTTGTACTGTGTGCCCTTATTTACTTCTCTTTCAGTTCTCCAATCACTTTCAAATCCCTTGTCTTCATTAACAACTTCATTTTTTAAAAAAAAAATGATTTGGGAGGAGATCTCTTACATTACCTACAGTTTGTTAGTATAAGGTTCGTAAGATTTTGTTTTACCTTTGGTAAAAGAAAACAAATAATTAAAGGGTTAATGGTAAAATTAATCATTCACTTTTGATTTTTTAACTGTCGTAATTAAGTTCTTGAGTTTTCTTTTTTTTTTTTTTTTCTCAAATCAATCATTCAATTAAATTGTATTGAATCTAAATCATTTTTTTTTTCAACATTTATTTTACTAAACTTTGCCAATGTTTTGTACACTTACTAATAAAATAAAATTTAGAGAGAATTATGTTTTCATTATATATTAAATATATTTATAAAAAATTTAATAATATTAGATAAATAGAATGTTACAAGAAATCTTTGTCAAATTTATCGAGCTTAATTTTGTCTAGTTTGAACGTATTTTTAAGTTAAGTTAAAATTGTTGAATTTCTGAATAAATTTTACCAAATAGTACACTATTTTTTAAATTTTGTTGTCAGCTCACAACACAAAACACCAGTTCATGCCCAAACCAATCCTCAAATCATAAAGAAATAGTTTTCTAGAGAATACTAAAAATACTATTCGAAAATTTTCTAATTTTTATAGGTATTTTGATTATTGTTTTATTTTACTATTAACTGATATTTCATGTTTTTTTTAAAAAAAAATAAATTACATAAAAAAAATTAAAAGAACATAAATCCAAAAAGATGCCAAAATTTTGGCATATGATTGATGCTGTTTGCATTGTTAATTAATTTCTTACATATTGAAGCTTTAGGAGTCTATTAGATGCCCGAAGAGGGTGAAATAAATTCTTAAGAATTTTTAGTTACATAAAAAATCTTTACTTGTTCCTTCATATAATTTTGTAATAATTTTGACTTAGAAATGTCGAATAAAAAGGTTATAAATTTTATAAATATATTTACTCTCTCCGTACATATATATATATATATATTTATGTATTTATAGCCCATCTCGTTCATTATATACAGTTCTTACCCCGTGATGCCTCCTTTTTCCTTTACATTTCAATCGGAATTATGGGGATGATGATCACTAAACCTGATATATCACCCACTCAGTACTCTTTTGTTTTTCATTGGTAAAAACGGAGATCTAGAGATAAAAGTTATTTTCTTGGTGATTTCTACACTTATTAAACTTCATGGTATATTTTGACCAAGAGGAAAATAGTAAGAACAAAAAAAAAAAGAAAGGAGAAGAGGAAGAAAGGAATCGATTGAAGTAATAAGGTATATTTTGAATTCGGAACTTACTTTTTCGTTTCTTGAAGTTAAACTTTGTTTTGCTTAAAGTATCATCCCCTGTATGCCTAGAAATCAGACGAACAAAGAGTAGTAACTTGGCATATTTGTCGATAGAATTAGCATGATGATTTTATATGGGTTTGATAGAACCACGGTGTCTCTGTTTTGTTGGGAATTTCTTTGTTTTTCTGGATTGATGTTGATCTGGTTTAATGGAGTATGCATTCTGGTGTCACAATATTCACAAAAATTAATCAAAATGACCAAGAAAAATGAGTTTGAGATTTGTTGAAATTCCCTATATTAGTTAAAGAATGTTCATCCTTCTCTTTTTCTTTTATGCTATAATGGTTCGCGATTTAGGTAGCATCATGATTCCATTTTGTTTTTAATGTTTTGCTCCACCCTGTTCCCGCATCACTTCTCTGATTGCTCCACACTGTTCCGTTTTTAAAGATAAACTCCAGTCGGTGTGTCTTTTGCTTTCAGTAGCTTTCGAAAACTTTTCTTTCCTTCTGTCGGTGTCTCTCTGGACTGTTTCTCCGATTTTCCCTTCAATTATTCTGGTTTTAGCCTCTTCTGCTTGTTTCGCTCATTCTCAAGCTATTTTGAGTAAGGGATTACAAGAAGAAAAGATGGGCTAATTTACGCATGGTGTCAGTTTCTGAATTGGGTTTTTAAGGCTTTCGTCTGATTTCAAAATGAACTTGCGAGAGATGGATTTGCTTGATTGAAAGTCGAGAAAATTCTCAAGGTTTGGATGGGTTTCTTTTCTTAATTATTGGCCTGGGGAAGAACTCAATTTCAGTGTCGACAGTTCTTTATAATTTAAACTAATTGAATGTGAAGACTATTGGGTTGAATAACACAAGTTCTGCAATTTCAACTTGGTGTTTTAACATCTTCTACTTCTCAGCTTTGGTTCATGACAGCTTTCTATAGAGTACGCTTCTTTCTCCAAGATGGAAATCAAGCAGTTTAGTATGTTGAAAATGGCTGGTGCTGCGTTTAGTCTACTTCTATTAACGCATTTAGAGATAATATTTGCATCCGGGTTTGTGATACAATCGAATTATTGTGGTTCTATCTACCTAGCCTACTCGATTAATTCGTATAGAGATGAATCGTTTTATATAAATGGGAATCCAGTTGACAAATTTTTGTTCTATAAAATCGTTCAGTTCCACTCTGCAAATGGATGCATCCTCAAACACTCTTCCTGGAATGATTATTTGATACAATACGAAGATCACAGAGATAAAAGATACCCAATTCCTGATACTTTAGTGACCACCAGATATGATCAAATAGTTACCGAAACAGTTTCTAAAGAAGATATGATCAAATAGTTTTAGTAGTTATTTGCAGTTTATTGTATTAGGAAACAGTTATGTTTTCTTTTCTATCGAAGGAACTATTATGAAAATTATTTGGCAATAAAATTATGGTTGATTTCTCACCCTAAGAGAAAGTTATCTGTAATTTATTTATGTTCTGATTGGCACCCTACTAATTGGTATCGGAGCAGGCATGTCAGCTAACAAAGAAAGAACAAAAAATTTAAAAGTAAGTGTGGGGGCTCTGTAAGATCACCTCAGTTGAATGGAAATCGATGTGGCGGATAAACTCCACACGATTGAAGAAACCCTTTGGCGCTTGATAGAAACTTTAAGCCTTAATAAGGAAGGTTACAGCAGTAACGCGGTCGGCTGATAAGGCTAGGAATGGCCGACCAGAGAAGGTGGCACAGATTGCATTAAAGGACTCTGACCATCGTTCGGTCCTCGACTGGGACGCATCGATTTCCTGATCTATGACGGTTCCGATCCCACCGAATAGCTAAGCCGGGCTGAGCAGTTCTTTGATTTGAAGGACACGCCGAAAGCAAATAAGGTGCGTTGGCAGCTTTTCATCTGGCTGGGGAGGCAAATCTGTGGTCGTAGTTGCTGAAGAAGGCGCATAAGGAAGGAGGAGGAGAGTTAGACTTGATCGGGTTTGTGAATGAACTTTGGGCTCGTTTTGGGCCAACAGAGTATGTAGCGCCCGGACCGAAAAAAAAAAAAAAAAAAAGCCACGTCGGTAGCCACGTCAGCAGGCCCGGTCAGCAGTCCCGGCCAACCGGGACCTGCCACGTGGCAAAACCACGTCGTTCCAAAAAGGGCCACGTTGGCGATCTGCGTGGGCGCGATTGGACGGCCCAGATCAAACGTGCGATCGGACGGCCCAGATTCAATCAAAAACGGACGGCCCAGATTAAAACAAAATGGACGGCTGAGATCAAAAGGCAAGGGGTTATAAATAGAACCCCCACACCAGACCACAAACCCTAGCCGCCTGCCGCTCGCCGGAGAAGACGAACCAGAAGCCGGCTGCCGCCACCCGCCGCCGCACCGGAGGAACTTCCGACCGCCGATCGAGGTAAATTTCGTACCCCCGACTCGTTTTTCCACGCTGATTCCTCATGTGGCCAAATCGGAGCCAAAATCCTGGCCAAACGGCCGGAATGCACGGCCGAAGCCCAGCGGCGCCGCCGCGCCCTTCTCGGTTTTTGCCTCCGATGAGGCCCTTCCCGGCCTCCGTTTGATGCAATTTTTATATCACCGTGATCACCACTCTTTTCTCTACAGGTTGACCGGAGCCGAATCACCAAAACACGAACCTCACCGGAGAGCCGCCGCACCCGAGAGCGCCGCCGCCGGTAAGCTCCGTTTTTCCGTGATTTTTTGGCCCCCCGAGGGCCCTAGGGTTGTTTTCTCGCAGGGACCGATGCGAGTGTGGCCGAATACGGCTGGAAACGGCCGAAAACAGCCAACCCGAGGTGAATCGCCGCCGCCAGCGGAGGCGCCGTCGCCGGAGCACGGCGGAGCCGCCGTGCCGGAGTTGCGATTTGGGCCGAAAGGGGCCCTGGGCCTAATTTGGGATTTTTTTTGGAACACGTGCAGGTACCAGTAGTACGTTTCAGTTCCCCGAGGAAAATTCAGGGAAAATTAGGGACAGCCTGCAAGCGCACTGTGAAGCCGTGTTCGGACCCCGAAACGAGTAAGGACCCCTCACCCTATTTCCTATCACGGTATTAAAGTTCAATAAATGATAAAACGGTATTTCATGAATTAACGAATGTGTGAAATTGCTTAAGGTCGCTAATAGAGCCCGAGTCTAGTGTGTTTGTCGGTTAA